TTTGAACAATGTGTGCTGTCTCCTGTGACATTAGGATGCTAGAAATAAATTTTTCTCAGAATCAAATCTCATCTTCTTCTTTTCAAAGGAATACGCTCCTCTGCAAGGTCCTCTCCAAATTTGCCAGGTTCACTTCATCTGTCCTAAGTGTGACATCTGGTGCACTTTGAGACACAATTCTTTGACAGTAGATCTTCTTGACTGCTCTCCTTACAGCTTCAAAATGCACGTGGCATTTACAGCCAGTTCTGTGCTAGCAAGTGGTATGTATGGCTCARCAGGAGCAAATCTTTAAAGTTATAAGAACTGGGGCTGGAAATGCAACATCCACACCAATCATGTTTGGGGAGCTTTATTTTGGATCATATCTTCCTTGGTCCCGTGGACTGCACCCCAATTTGCAGCTGACATGCAAGAAGTGTGTCCTGTGCACAGCTTAGCACCACCAAAAAGGAATCTCGTTTGCACACTGAGGCTGTTCTGCAGGACAAACCCAAGCCCAGCAAGCAGGGATTACTGGAAGACTGATTTCGAAAGCACACTTCAAGCATCCTAGAAGGTTAAAACAAGACTCACCTGCTATTAGCAAATGCCAATCCTACRTATGTTCAGCGAGATCAAGACTCCTCTCTTGAAGAGACAGAGATGGAGAAGGGTGTAGGGCAGAATCACTTTCAAGAAGAAGAGATGAACAGTGCTGCTCCTAAATAAAACCAATAGACGACACAAGCCAGGGAGAAGGGGAGCATAGGCACTGAAATAAGGCATAGACAGAAATCCAAAAGCCATCACAGACTGAGCAGTGAAGAAGACATGAAGTAGTTTTGATGTACAAACATTTGCAACATGGTTTTGGGGTATGCCCATGACACCCGCCTATGATACCAGCTTGGCCTATTGAGTTRGGACACTTGTGTTACACTTTTCTGTAAAGAAAAGCCCCCACAGATGCCCTTCTGAGGCTGAGCAGCAAAAGCAGCCCCATGGGAAATGCACCCAGGTCATCACTGATGCCTCCAGGGACAAGAAAACTACAATAAAATGTATCCTCTCTTGTCTTCCCCTCTTTCTCYTCCTGGGAAGACAGTTCGTTTTCCCTATTTCTGAGCTGCCTTCAGACTCACAAAGATTCTTGCAAAGCAGCACTCACCACTGAACCAGTTCCAACAYTGAGCAATCCTTTGATCTGCTGGAAAGGTGGTGGTATCATTTGCACCAGRCTGGAGAGAGCCTGTAGGAGGCCTTCAGAAAGCACCTCCTGKGACTCAGTAATAGTCTGCCATTGCCTAAGAGTGAGACATGGGCACCCCTTCCACCTGCAGGTACAGAAAAACACCTTGCAAATCAAGATTTTTTTTGTCTGAGACCCAGAGTAAAGGAGTGTTGTGGTTTAGAATGCTGGCTGAAAGCCAGGCACCCACAACACCTGCTCACTCGCTCTCCCCCACCACCACTGGGCAGAGAAGAGTGAAGGAAAAAAAAATTAACCAAAAGGTTCATGAGTTGAGATAAGGAACAGGGAGGAAATGCTTGATGGACAAAACAGGCTCCACTTAAGTTATGAAGTGAATTTATTACTAACAAAGTCAGAGGAGAAGAATGAGAAATAAAATAAAACCCTCAAAGACACCGATCTTCTCCCCACTCCCTCCCCCCTTCCCACCGACAGTGCAAACCAGTGGGGGGATGAACAGGGTGTGGGGTTGGTCAGTTCGGGGTGTGGGGTTGGTCAGTTCAGGGTGTGGGGTTGGTAAGTTCGGGGTGTGGGGTTGGTCAGTTCATCACCGGATCATCTGCAGCTGCTGAGGGAGAGGAGTCCTTCCCTTGCGTTGCCGTGGGGTCCCTCCCACGGGAGACAGTTCTCTGTGAACCTCTCCAGGGTGGTTCCACTCTCACGAGCAGCAGCCCACACACATCTGCTGCAGCGTGAGTCCCCCATGGGCAGACAGTCGTCCCAAAACTGCTGCACCGTGGGGTCCCTTGTCCCCTGGGTGCAGGCCCAAGGCCAGGCTGTTCCATCTCGGGAGCAAGGCCTCTCTCTCCATGGCTCTCCTGCTGGACACAGCCCCTTCTTGGCATCCGCCCGCTCCGGTGTGGGGGACCTCCTTCCTCCACGGGCTGCGGGTGGATCTCTGCACCCTCTGTGGACCCCATGGGCTGCAGGGGGACAGCTGTGTCACCAAGGTCACCGTGGGCTGCAGGGGACAGCCTGCTCCACCATGGTCACCATGGGCTGCAGGGGGACAGCCTGCTCCACCATGGTCGTCACCACGGTCTGCAAAGGAATCCCAACTCCGGCACCTGGAGCAGCTCCCTCCCCTCCGTCTCCACTGACCTTGGTGTCTGCATCCCTCACATATTCTCAGCCTCCTCTTCCTCCTCTGGCAAAACTRCTGTGGCCCCTGCCTTTGTTTTGATTTCCTCTTAAAAATGTTTTCACAGAGGTGCAACCACCATCTCCAAYTGGCCCAGGTTTGGTCAGTGGCATGTCCATMATCCTCASAGCCAACAGCAATTGGCTCTGCTGGACATGGTGGAAGCCTCCAGAAGCTTCTCACAGGAGCCATCTTTTKGMCCCCCCACTTCCAAAAACTGGGCCAAGCAAAACCAAYACAAGGAGATAGAAGGAAAAACTGGATGGCCCTTTATCCCTTAGAGTCCCAAAAGACTGTGATGCAACTGGAAGGACCAGAAGTGGCAGCGGTGACAGAGCATTGAGGTCAACCAGAGCTATAGTTKTTGGTGGGTAAGTATCCTGCCGAAGCCAGTTATTTCTGTTTGCAGGCAGAAAGCAAAGAGTCTGATCTAAAATCAACAGGAAAAGGAGCAGAGTCAATGAAGTGTTTCAAGGGAAGCRTAAATAATTTAGAAGCAAGAACTAAAATATCGGGGGGACCCAATAACACTTGGAGAGAGGAGWGAAGCAAATAGTAGAGCTCCTGAAAAAGCTCTTCCAGCCTCTGCATCCTTCAGCCATTCTGAATTCCTATACTCTGCTGAAGGTCCTGGACCTGATGGGGACCTGTGACAAAATGGAGGTCTCTGTGTAACGATTCCCCATCCTAACTTGGTGAAATTCATTCTTTCTTTCCAAATGAAGAACTTAGCACATAGCTTTCAGGCTATTTCTCCCATTGATCAAGATCATTTGAATACAAGTTTTCTCTACTAAATACATTGCAACCTCTCTCAGGTTGTTGCTGTCTCCAAGTTTTAGTAGGCACCATTTTCTAGTCCACTGTATAAATCACTGAAAAAAACTATTAAGAATAGACTGAAAACAGATCTCTGCAGGACTTCTTGATACTTCAGATAGACAGCATAGCATCAAAACCTAATCTTAGCATTTCCTAATCAGCATCAGATTCTCCCAGCAATTTCTGTAGATCCAGTTGCCCATATTTCCTAACTTGCTAGTTAGACTGTCAGATGAAACAGAGCAAAAATCCTACTGAAGTAAAATATTTAACATGTTTTGTTACTTCCTTGTCCATAAGGCCTGCTAGTGTGCCATGAAAGATTAGTTTGACTT